GGGAACCCTTATTTTCCTTATTTCTCATTTAGGCTGTTTATTTTACTTTCAAAAAGCTGCCTTGAAAATTGTTCTGAACTTTCAGGTAGCAAAAAAATGCCAAACATAAATTGTGGTCTGGCATATATTGTAGGAACTAACCCTTTAGGTACCTTGTAAGGGCTTCCAGTTTGTTTCTGAGGTCAGCCCAGGGTTTGATTTTAAATCTCAATAACCTAGATCAGGGGTAGGCAACCTCGGCTCTTTTATGACTCGTGGACTTCGACTCCCAGAATTCCTGAGTCAGCATAGCTGACTCAGGAATTCTGGGAGTCGAAGTCCACGAGTCATAAAAGAGCCGAGGTTGCTACCCCTGACCTAGATGCTAGGCCAGTGATGGTGAACCTTTTAGAGACTGAGTGCCCAAACTGCAACCCAAAACCCACTTATGCATCGTCGGGTGCCGGGTGGGTGTGGCCCATTGGATGGGTATGGCCCATTGGCTGGGTGTGGCCATTGGGTGGGCATGGCTGCAGTGGTAACGGCAGACTGGGTGGGACTAAAAAGTTCAATCAATCAATTCCAACTTTGCAAGATCTTTTTTTTCCCACGAGAGAAGTTGAAATTGACTGATATTTTTTTTTGCATCTGGCAGCGGAGCCTAAAGCGAAAAGGTTTTATAAAACCCAGCTGAAGGCCTAGGACTGGGGCGACAGTGCGCGTGCCCACAGAGAGGGCTCTGAGTGCCACCTCTGGCACCCGTGCCATAGGTTCACCACCACTGTGCTAGGCTATCTGAAACACCACCCATTTTCATATGAGATTGCTGGTAACCTATGATTTTCATTGGAGACCCTGTTACAATATATGCCTCATCAACAAGGAGGCTGGGTCATTATGTTGGCTCTGAAACATCTTCAGAGTTGACTCATCCCTGTCTGCATTGGAATTATGCAGTAAAATAGCCTGATTAAATGCACCCTGGGAAATTCTAGGGAGCAGGTCTCCTCAATCTCTTTCTCTTCCCAAATCCAGCTCCAGACTGTGCTGTATCTCATTTCCCCTGCTCCCAATGTGATCTTTTCTTCCTGGCAACCTACTACCTTATTGCAGTCTATCAATCACCTCCCCCTTCGTAGACATAAGGCTATTTTTCATTTCACTATGTCTTTTTTTCAGGCTTCCATGTATGGAGCTACTTTAAGAGTCTCATTAACTTTAATAATTGGACTTCTTGAAGCAGTGAAGGTCTGAAAAATGTCAGGCTAATTTAATGAGTAGCAGATTGATACTCTGCTTGCACAAGATCCATAGTACTCAGGGTTAGCCCCCCCCCCCAAAAAAAAATCAAAGTGTACACAGCCCTAATAAGTTGCAATCTGTATGTCTAAACTATACATAAATTTGGGAGGGAGGGGCAAGAGTTTATAAGTGCTATTAATAGCAGAATTTATTTTACTCCAATAATATACCTGGGCTGCAAAACTCCAGATATTGAAGTAATATAATTCTTTGAATAGATGTCTCAATCAACTGGGGATAAAGGCACATGCTAATATACTGCTCAAAAAAATAAAGGGAACATTTTACCATGGAACTGAAGGGGTTTGCGTTCCCTTTATTTTTGTGAGCAGTATATGTAACTCTAAGGAATTTGTATCTCCTTTGATAGGCCGGACCTTTTTTAATGCTGACTTGATTAATTTTCATTGACTTATTCATTTTCTGCACTTTATTGTTGTGCCAGGTTTCTTTTATTTTTCAATGCCAAATTAAAGCAGTGACAGGTTCAGTACGAAGGGTTTTAAGAGCCTGTTGCCAAGGGTTTAATTATATTTTTCTGGCAAGTGTTCCCTGTTTGCTCTTTCAAAAAGTCAGACTTTATGGATATCAGCTCTGCAATTTCCCTCAGCTGAGGAGAGATGCTCTCTAGATTTTTGCAGCTCAGATTTTGTAATGCACAATTTTAATGAATTTCTTAACAAATATAAAAATGAAACAAAAAGCGGAACCTGCAAATGTCATTTAACCAGTTCAAAGTAAGCGCTCTCTTTCTCTCAAACTCTAAATATTACAAACTATAAGACAGCATAGATACAAAAGAAATAAATACAGGGAAGAAGATTAAAAAGAAAGACATAAATAATGACATTTATCTAATTTTCTACAATACAAGAATATTAGATCACACAGAATTATATTTATTTTTCCCTTGTTGCTCTAGAACCAATTCAAAAGCTGAGAATTGACAAATTTTATTAAATTACCCTTTAGACTTTGGGAAATAAATATCCTTGCAGAAGTATATAATCATTTCTTCGGGGGAGCATTGTTCAAGTGCAATATAACCAAAGCTTCTGATACATAGAACAAATTTCAAAGTTCTGGATATAATTTACCAATATATATTAAACTGTTTTATTTCATTCCAAACATCTGCTCCATCATAGTGTTAATGTCAAATCAGAAAGGAGCATGGCCCAATCATGCATATTAAAGTGCCTTCAAATTTATTACATATCCAATGTAAGAAGGACGGTGACTAACACTAAATCTACCCCCTCCCCAATTTTTATTGAATTGATTTAGTCTTTAGCTCGTAAGGAATATATTTGGTATTCATGAAAATTGGGACCATTGATTTCGTAAGGCAAGACGCTCCAATTCATAATTTTAAATTTCTCATAGGCTATCCAATTTTTTTTAAATTTACCTCAGATCTAATAGCCTTATTGTAATGCCTTACTGAGAGAAGAGTCAGAAGTGAAGAGGTAAATCATATAGTTTGTATTAAAGCTTGCTTTGTAAATGAAGGTGATGAAATTAAACTGAGAACAGTAAGAAACAAATGAAGAGTGGTATGCTTGGGAAAAAATCCAAGGTTTGCAAAGATACAGAAAATTCTTTTAAAAACACTCAGAAAATTCTTTTAAAAACACTCAGAAAGATAAAATCCACTCACAGCCCAGTTATTACCACTCATGCTTTTTACTTTAAAATGTAGATTAAGTGTTGGAAAAGTGAAATGAAGTATAGGAAGAATAAAATGACCCATTTGGCAGGATGGGCTGGCTTTCCCCTAAAAGGGGAGCATTCCATTTGGTTGAAGGAAAGATGGCAAGTCACTCCTGCATCTTCCATCTGTATGCCTCTGTTCCTAAGACGTTTCTCTATGTCAGTATTATTAGAATAAATCTCTCTCTCTGTCACAGGGCCCCCATCCATAGAAAATACCCATTTTCAATGCAGCTACCACCATTTGCAAGTTGTAGAATCTCTTCTGAATAAATTGCATGAGAAAAAGATGTGTTCTCATCCCTCTCTTTTAAGCACGCCGATTTCGCCGATGAATGCATTATTTAAACATACTGATTTGAATGTTTTCCAGAACTTTTATAAATAGAAACAGGATTTATTGTCACTGAATTAGAATGTGTGTTGATGGACAATGCCAGTTTAAATTTGTGAATCATGTCTCATACAAAATACTGAAAACTTTCTAAATTCAGCAATACATTTTTTCGGGGGGAGACCAAGCAATACCAAAACAACTGCTTAGTAAACTTTTTTTTTCCTAGTAGGCTATCCTATCCTACAGCATTTGTAGCAGATGTTATTGCTGTTGTAGAGACCAGTGTGAAATGATATATTTTTAAGTGCTAATAAAGGTGAATTGCTTTGGAAAAGCTATTGGATGGAACACCTTGTGCTATTTCTAAATATTTACACATTTATCCAGTTCACGGTAAAAAAAACCAAGGTTGTTTGGCACGGACTTATTAAGGCTGATTTTTTGTGCACTTATTAAAAATCAAATTCTAATCCATAGGCCTATAATTTCAGTGTTAAGAGTATAAATTTAAAATTGTCATAAGGATGATAGCTAATCAATAAGATATAATGAGGTAATGCAAATACAGTGTTATTCATTGAAAATGTAGAAGGTTGGGGACATAATTTGCCAAACAAATCATAGTGATGGGTTTGCATAGAATCAATTCAGAAACGGGCCTGTCATGGAATCATGGATGTATTATAGCCATAATTAAGGCCAATGTTTATTTGGGTCATTCTGAATTTAAATTCCTAATCTTTGCAGCCTTAATCTTGCAAATTGACGATAAATGAGGTCAAATCATTAACATTAGCTGTCATGTACCAGAAAAGTGCTAAAACTAACCATATTTCTAAAGCAATTAAAAAAAGATTGTAGAAAACGTAAATTAACATAATTAAGGGAATTCACATAATTCACACTATCAGGAAATTTGATTCTATCTAGTATCATGTTGAGAAATATTTATTGAATGATAGTGGATGAGTGGTTATAGCTGTGTAAGGATCTTGATGGTGGTAATGACAGGTCGAAGCCTTTTGTAAACTTCTTAGGAAAGGCTGGGCAATCCATATCTGCAACTATGTGCTGCTGCCTACCCATTTTGCACCATAACATTTGGCTGCAAAATAGCTGACTATTGCTAATTTGTCCCCTTATTTTCAAGCAAACTTAAGTGCATTTCATCTCCATGCATTCAATGGCATCACCACATCACTGGACATACACTCTTGCTCACCTTGGAAGCCAAAGCAATTTAAAGAGTCATTCTGATCTCGGCTATAAACCATTGTCTGCTCTTGATCTAGCCTAATATTCCCTAATCCAGTGCCCTTCATGCTGACCAAAGAAATTAAAAGAGTAAAGGCTCACACATCTTGAAGGACCCCTTACACCTTAAGACTTTCCAAAATTCTGCCTTCCTATATACGTATATAAATAAATGAATGATGCCAGGAACCGACTATAAAGCAGCCTATGCCCTGCTACCACTATGGTTTTGGAAAATTACATTTGTTTGAACATGTATAGTATATGCAGAGTAGAATGTACATTGTATATATGAGCGCATGTCTGTGTGTGTGAGAGAGAACTAATCTTCAGAACAACTAATTTAGAACACATTTCACTCCTATGTACAAACACTAATACAGTATATGTAAAAATCCTAAGCGTAATCAGACAGATGGATGATGCTGATACTTTGCTGGAAGTAAATCTCTGTTCTTGGCATGGAAAAGCTCTGAGGCTAAACAGCTGATGGCATATGGAGAGGGCAAAAGTATGGTACATATTTGGGCCAGGAAGAAATGTAATACAACTTTCAATGTAACTTTTTAAAGTACAGAATTTGCATAGCAGTTTTAAACTCAAGTTTTGTTTTTGTTTAAGGAACCACCTCAGCTAACCACCCAAGAAAGCAGAACTCTTGAAACAGGCATTGTCTCAAAAGGAAACTTTTATTAGGGGGTTAGTGACAGTAGGGAAGCCAAGGAGAGATCTGGGGAAAATCCCGCTCAAACGGTATAGTTAAACCAGCAATATTCCTTCTCCCACCAGAGTCATTTGGTGTTCATTTGAAATCCAGCCAATTCACAGATGGTACAGCGTGCATCTCAAGGTCTTCTTTCGTTTCTCTGTAACCGTCTCCCTGATAAGGGAGACACATTCCTTTCTCAAGTGGATAGAGGCAGGAGAGGAAAAGGAGAAAGCGAAAGTTATCCCAGCGAAAGTAAATATCCCCCTCCCCCCAGTAGAATGGCAGGTCCCAAAACAAAAGCACAAGAATATATATGCTGGATAGACAATAAGGATTTGGGGACCTGACATCTGAGGCTAAACAGCTGATGACATATGGAGAGGGCGAAAGTATGGTAAAGTTCAAGATACTTTTGTTTTCGACAATGCTGCTGATCAGCAAGATTTTTGAACGGAAGGGGAAGCAGGCTGTCTGGACCAAGAGGAATGATTTGGCACTGTTGTTTATTGCTATTCTTTGGGACTCTATGGCTATGGAGTAGACCTGACGGGGAAAATAACTTAACATCTGCTTCTTGTTTCTTCTAGGTGAAGAGTGAAGGCCCTAAACTCGTGCCCTTTTTCAAAGCCACTTGTGTCTACTTTGTCCTCTGGTTGCCAACCTCCAGCCCTTCCTGGTTCAGTGCCCTGATCAAGTGTTTGCCAATCTTCTGCTTATGGGTCTTCCTGCTGGCACATGGGATCAATTTCCTGACAGCCCATCACAATGCCTGTAGGATCTTTGCTGGTTTGATATTCTCTGCCCTGGGAGATGCTTTTCTCATCTGGCAAGAGCAGGGCTTCTTTGTTCACGGTTAGTGGGTTTGCCTGCTTTGAAAGGGAACACAGAACCTTTGGGGAAAATGCCCACTGCTGTTTTGGTACCGGAACTGGAACTGGTCTGTTCCTGTGTGAAGCTTTAGTATATATAACTAGAGATGTGGGGAGCAGTACCAAGAGACGGGGACGAGAAAATGTCATGTTGCTACATGGAAGGAAGACAATGCCTGCTCTAACTTCTTTACTTTCAGTCCAATTACCCTGATTTGAGTTGCAGAATGGGGAGAAAGTGGATTAAGCCTGGGTGCCATGTGGCTCATACAGGAATTGGATAGTGAAGGATCTCTCCCCTGAAATCTTTCTGTTGTCTGTTCCTCTATTATTATTATTTTTGTCACAGAATGAAATTCATAGTTTCACTATAGTCTTTGTTATCCCTTGGTATCCTGAACTAATTTTTCTAAATCACTCCTGCCCAGGTGTTGAATTAATAAACCAAGAAACAAATGTATAATCACAATAGATGCCAGAGAACGGTAGTATTTTTAGTTTGTCATTCCTGCAGCCCAATTATGCTGGAAGAAATGAAGGTGTGACTTTTTGTGACATCTTTTCTGGCAGGAGACATCAACTGTTTTTCTAAGAGTTACAGGTACAGTTTCCTATAATATGCGTTCACTAGTTTTGCCCTATCAATAAATTTTGCAGATTTTTTGTTGTAATCCAATATATCTTTTCAGTATCAGAATTAAGCCAGTCATTTCATCTCCAAATAGTGGGTTTTACCACTGTGTACTAGCAGTCTATAAGTGAGGACAGCTGGGTCTGTGTCAGGCTCTCTTTGGCTAGCCAGGCAGAGCGGTTTTCCAAAGACACAAACTCTCAAACTGGAAGATTTATTGTAGAAAACATGTGAAGACCTTACAATACAATTCTGCCAGCTGCTGGTTATCAAACATAAGCTCTGTTTCTGGTAAAATCAAGATTCAGATTCTTGTACCTCTTTTTCCTACTCATATGATGCAAAGGGCTAGAAGCCGTTCTTCTTTGAGTGGGAGAGAGAGACAATCTCTATCTGTTTCTTGTTTTTTAAAAAAACAGAACAGAGCAAAACATAATAAATATAAGGTGTTTTCTTTTGACTGTGTGAGAACGGCTCTCTCAGTCTGAAATGGCACGGCCATTTTTACATTCTTTTTGCTCACTGCAAAGTCGAAGGGAAAGCTGATGTTTTCTATTTCACATATTTTTTTCATCCACAGTGAGGCAATCAGATATTTTCAAAAAAATATTGGACAGCCATTTGTCCAGAATGGTATAGAGATGCCTGCAATGGGCAGGAGATTAGACTAAAAGGCTTTCAAGGTCCCTTTCAGCCCTATGATTCTATGATTTAGGGAGGCCATATCTGGGTTGCCAAAAATCCAATAGTTACTAAAAGGCAGCAAAGAACTACATTTTTTTCTGTATCTCTTTATGTTCTCTAGGGGTTATCTGGATTTATTTATTTTTTAAGCTAACATCTAGTAACTCCAGATAGCTTTTTAGCAAAGATAAACCTTGATCCCATGGTTAGCGAAGTTAATGCAACATGAGTCTCAGGACAGATAGTCAGTCTTTATTATCCTGTTATGGAATTCCCTGTATAGACTTACTTTTCAAAAATATGTTTCATACTTTTGCAAACATTGATGTTGCCAAACGTTTGCTGGTGTTTCCCGATTGTGGCAATGACACTGTTTTTGTGAGGTAAATGGTAGCATTTGCAGAAATGAATTGGACCTAGCATACAAGATTTTTTCAGTTGTAATTTTTTGCTGAGCATTGTTCTAAAATTACTACTGTGGCATATGTGAAATACTTGGTTCTCTACTAATTCAGACCATTTGTTCTCCTTACCCAGGCTTGTTGATGTTCGGTATTACACACATACTGTATTCCTCTGCATTTGGAATTAAACCTTGGGACCTGAAAGTTGGCCTTGGGATTGGCTTGGTGTCCAGTTTCTGCTACACCTTCCTGTATTCCTACCTCTCAGGCCCGTTTACCTATTTGGTAGCTGTCTACATTGCCTTAATTGGCTTCATGGGCTGGCGGGCTATGGCTGGTGTGCAGCTTTGCAACGACCTTTGGACTTGGACCAAGCTTTCTGCTTGCATCGGTTCCGTGCTTTTCATGGTGTCTGACCTGACTATTGCTGTCAACAAATTCTGCTTTCCTGTCCCCTACTCACGGGTCATCATCATGGTCACTTACTACGCGGCTCAAATGCTCATTGCACTTTCTGCGGTGGAGAGCAAGGATGAAGACGTTTTCAAAAAGAGAAAATAGAGACTGATGCCCGTGCATCCACCAGCTCTGTAGGGCAGGGGTCCTCAACCTTGGCAACTTTAAGACTTGTGGACTTCAACTCCCAGAATTCCTCAGCCAGCAAAGCTGGCTGAGGAATTCTGGGAGTTAAAATCCACAAGTCTTAAAGTTGCTAAGGTTGAGGACCCTTGCTGTAGCGGATGCTACAGCTGCACTCATCCTGGAGGATGCTTCAGAATCTGTGACTACAAGTCTTGCTTCTTGGAAGCTTTTCTTTATAGTATTTGGATGATCTTGTCTAGTCCTGTTGATTGGAGTATGGAACTCCCACTGGAGATTTAGATTGTTTTAGAGCACGGATGTCAAACTCGATCGCCTCACATGACGTAACATGATGTATCGCAACATTTTTTGCCTTTGTGGAGCCAGGGTGGGCGTGGCCTATGCATGATGCATCAGCCCCGCGGACCACCCGTTTGACACCCCTGTTTTAGAGTATTTACTTCCTGACCCTTGGAAACCTCTCTTAACACATTAGTATATTTGTATAATGCAGAAACTGGTGCTGAACATTCCAGTGGGACAAAGCTCGTTTCAGGACAATATTACTATTAAATAGGGTAGGCAATACACTGGAATTTAAGAGCTTTGCCTTCAACACGGAATGTGCAAAATCACACAAAAAGGAGTCTCAGTGTTGCCTAAGCATACATTGCAATAGAACTGTGAATCATTATGAGTCTACGCAAGAAATCTTTGGGACCTGAAAAATACCACAAGATGTAGGAGCACTCATGATAATCTCTATGGGTATTGTAACATATGCTGTCCTTGGGAGAAGTCAAGTTTAAATTCCAGATTCATGAAATCATTTATTTATAGGCCATGCATAGCCTTTTATTATTATTATTATTATTTTGGTGAATGTGAACCCTGCAGAGCATCTGTTTTTCTGCAGACTTTAAAAGCAACAACAAAATGCAATGAACTTCTCAGGCTGGTTGAAGTTGGAGACAGGAAAAAATGTGGGGGGAAAAAAGGGTTTTAACAATAAAACAAGTCATGCTGTGCAGTGAATCAGCTCTTCCAAGGGAAAATATCCGACGTTATTAGTGCTGAAACACTAAGAAGGACACTTGGGCATTTTTAAGACACCAGCTGCTTTGTGGACATAATTGATTGGCCAAGAAAATCACCTTTTTGTACAAGATTCTCAGCCTCTTTTCCTCTCCACAATCAGTGTCTTGAAAGAGACTGCATACACAAGACTCTGGTTATGATGCCATGAAGAATGACTGTGAAATGGATTTCTAAGGTACATTTGCAATTCACCCTTCACCTATGGACTATTTAAAGTGAAGCAGTGGCTTCCAGGCATTTGCTCTCGTCTTTCTGTACATGTACACATCAATGTTATCCCTTCACGTCCAGCCAGAGCTGTAGACTTTGCAGGTGCCTTCATGCCTACAGCTGCAGCATGGATCATGCTGACAGGCACAGCCAATCACCAAAGTGCTGAGAGACTATCGCTTCACCATGCTCCAAAATCACTCATTTGCTTATTTTCTTCTCGCAACAATGAACTACCGCCGGTCAACCTGGGTGGGAAGTCCAGTGGTGTGCTGGCACTTTCCCTGGTTTTGTGGCATTCAGTGTACAAAATGGGTTCTGTTGACTCGCAGTTCAACAATCAGTGTGAAATCACTTGGGTCCATCCCCTTCTGGTTTGCTCCGTGGTGTTTTGGGGGGAGATCATTTCCCCTGTGTATTTTTCTTATTACCTTTTTTTCTCCACATTCTGTTATATATGATCATGTCAGTGTTTATTTCTTAACATTGTGGTTGCTTGATGCCATTCAGATTTGCTAGAACTTACTCAGAATTCTTTGTCAGCATTAACAGCTGTAGGACCATAGGAGTTGTAATACTCCCTGGAAGACACCAGGGGGGAAGAGCAATGTAGAATGTAGAGCAGGGGTTCCCAATCCCCGGCCTGCTGCCCGGTACTGTGTGCCCACGTGCACAGCTCCATTTGCACAAGTGGCAGGCGTGTTCGCTCGTGGGCGAAGCTCCATTTGCTTGGAACCACCCCTGCTCTCTCCCTCTCCTGGCCATCACTGCCGGTCCGCCAAGCTGGAAAAGTTCAGGACCGCTGATGTAGAGCATCTCATTAGATTCTCCCATCGTATTATTTCATGAGGATTCTCTTTCTGCTTGCAAAAGTAATTGTGTAGAAATGTAGTCATGGCAGTTGTATTTTGTACGTTCTATACAAAATGTTTATAGTGAAAATTGTTGGGAATTCTAAACATTTGACAACTGAAGGTTCTCATTCAACAATCATTTGTTCAACAACTGTTTGAAGTTACGATGGTGCTGAATGAGTGGTATATATATATATATATTGATTGTGAGGTTTGCTTAATAGTGACAAGTGCCAGAACTGCTGTCAGTAAGCAGCACAGTTGTGTGACCTTGCTCTTTACAACTGCATCACTTAGCGATGGGAATTCCAGTCCAAATTGCTGTTGTTAACCGAGAACTATCAGTGTTGAAAATATTTCACCTTGTATCACCCATCTCCTTTTACACAGCTGTGTCCTATCAACCAAAAGTAATCCTAGACATCCAGCCCATAGTATCAATGATCCCATGTTTCTCAGAAATGCAACTCTACTCCAGATTTTAATCATGAAAATGGAAGATGCATTTTAAGACTTTCCCTAATTATTCCAGCAATACATTACTATCAGTTCAGGAAACTGGGAAATTTTGCCGTGCTATAAATGGATGTTGTCTTTACTACTATTTCATTATAGCAGCATATTTTGCAGACAGCTGCTAGAATAGGTTTGATTTGTGGAAGCAATTATTCAAGGAATAATTCAAAGTCAAACTATTCTGAAATCATTTTGTTCCTTTATCTCTTATTCCAAGAGGAGGGAACAACAAATAAAAGTGACATACAGCTTAGACTTTAAGTAAGACTTGAATGACCACCGAGTGATTTTCAATGGGCATTGCTTCCTGATATCTCTCTGATGAAGACCCTCTCTGATTTTATATTGGGGTAGAAATCTGGCCAAATTTTAAATCAACATAGCAATAAGGGACATGATGACATCCAAATTTTTCAACTCCTCCTTTTAAAGTATAGAGCTCCTGCTGCAGAGCTGTTCAATGAACCAGCCTCAGGGGAACAAGGCTGCTTATCATGTATTTGTATTTCATAACTGATTTGGTTTTTTTTTCTTAAAAGAGTTAACTGATCATATGACATTTTTTATGTACCTGTTCAATTTGGCTGATTATGATCTCTTCTGAATTAGGATGCTTGACCTGAGACTGCTTAGGCAGCGGCTCATAAAGAGAACTGATGCATACATGACTTAGCCTTTGAATCTCTTTGATACAATTTAGGTACACTCTTGTTCATGTGAAAAAGAAGAGGAGGAAAAAGAAGAAGAGAAGAAGAAGGAGAGATGTGAGTGAATATGGACATATATGAGCCAAACATGGATATACATTTTGCAGTGGAAGCATTTTACATCTGGTTCTTTAAGTGATCTTGTAATATGTCCTTCCAAAATTGAATAATAGGCATTCTAGAGTCTTTCAATGTATTATGAAATTGTCTTCTCCACCTGTTCTTCTTTAGTCTCATCGACTATTTTAAGTCTAGTACTGTGTTTAGATTAAGTTGTTGGTCTATTTGTTTTGATCTATAGAATTCCAGAATTTTAAGAGAAACTAATGGGTGTAACAGTAAATACATTCCAGCGTTAGTAGGGACCTAACATCTCATTTGCCACTGCAGCCTTCACAAATGGTTAACTGGTTTCAATATTTACATTCCCCACAAATGATAATGATAATGATGATGATGATGTAAATAAAAGAAGAACTATTGTGGCAAAAGAAAGCAAAGATAATACCAATAGTGATGGCTACCTTGGGTGTAATCCCAAATAATCTGGAGCACCATCAGTTAATTGCAAAAAACAGTTTTACTTGAAATAGCTTACATCCTGTGGCAATACCTTTAATATTATTAAACAATAATATCTGCATATCGCAGGCTTTGGGGAAGGACTCAATAGAAAGACAAAAATGCCATATCCAGTCTAAATATCCAAATGACTTTGTGACCAACCATAATAATAGTAATCATCTCTTTTGGGGATAGTCTTTTATATTGTCAAACACCTCATGCTATCAGAATGTCCTTCCTAATACTGAATTAAAGTCATCTTCCCCTGTTATTTAAGCATAGTAATTTCACCCCTGAACATCAGAGAACATGTTTGCTGCATCAACCCTGTGACAGTCCTTTGAATGTTTAAAGATAGCTATCATATTCACTCTTCAACCTCTCTTTGCCAGATTTGGCTGCCAGCCCTTAACTATCTTTGTCATCCTTCTCTGGACATGATCCAGTTTTTTGATGCAATCATACAACCGAAACTTAATTAGTAGTGTTCAAGACAAGTATTGGTTTCAGAACTGCATTGAAGTTGCAGAGTAGAAAGAAGCCACTTTTGTTTTAAAAAAGGTTAAATATTTAGGTTTGTTTTAAACAAGAGTGAGTTCAAATTTCTCAGCTTAATCTCACACAATTGAGAACTTTTCAGATCATCTACCCATGTAATAAATGACAAAAACGTTTTTGGTTGCCCCTAGCTTACCCAGATGTTAATACAGAGCTTGTTGCACATTTTAAATACTTTATAGTTTACCAGCAATACTTCCCAAGACTTCTACATATCCTATAAATTATGGTATGTGTGTATAAATATGAGTGAGAGGGATTTTTTTTTAACATTGGCCATGTTGGCTTAACATGTTCTCTAAGATTTTTCTGCTGTTCTTCAAAAATTCATCAGAAAGGGATTGTTGGTTCAAAATGGAAATTATAAGTGGCATAATATATAAAATTCAACTGTGAAGTTATTGGGATAATCTGCCAGAAATCTGAACAGGCATAAAATATGTAATTCTATTAAATTTTTAAAAGAAACCCCACATTTTTATATATTTAAAAAT